GAATATGTAGATTGTAGATGGCTTTGGGTAGTATGGACATTTTTAGCAATATTGATTTTTTCGTATTTGTGAACATGGAATATTTTTCCTTTTTTTGGTGTCCTTTTCAATTTCTTTCATCAGTGTTTTATAGTTTTCATTATAGAGATATTTCGCTTCTTTGGTTAATTCCTAGGTGTTTAATTTTGTGTGTGGCTGTTGTAAATAGGATTACGTTTTTGATTTCTTTTTTACATTGTTTGCTGTTCACATATAGAAATGCTACTGATTTTTGTATGTTGATTTTGTATCCTGCAACTTTACTGAATTTGTTTATCAGTCCTAATAGTTTTCTTGTGGAGCCTTTAGGGGTTTCCAAATATAAGATTATATTATCTGCAAACAAGGATAAGTTGACATCCTCCTTTCCAATTTGGTTGCTTTTTATATCTTTCTCTTGTCTCATTGCTCTAGCTAGGACTTCCAGTACCATGTTGAATAACAGTGGTGACAGTGGGCATCCTTGTCATGTCCCAGATCTTAGAGGAAAGACTTTCAGTTTTTCCCCATTCCTTATGATTCTCACTGTGGGTCTGTCATATATGGCTTTTATTATGTTGAGGTATGTTCCTTCTATCCTGTCTTTTGGGAGTTTTTATCATGAAGGGATTTTGACTTTCATCAAATGTCTTTTCAGCACCAATTGAAATGATCATATGATTTTTATCCTTCATTCCTTTGATAGGGTGTATCACATTGATTGATTGGCATATATTGAACCATCCTTGCATCTCAGGAGTAAATCCCACTTGGTCATGTTGGATATCTTTCTAATGTGTTGTTGAATTGTTTGCTAATATTTGATGGAGGAATTTTGCATCAATATTCATCAGAGATATTGGCCTATAATTTTCTTTTTTTATATGTCTTTGTCTGGTTTTGGTATCAGGGTAAGACTGACCTCATAGAATGAGTTTGAAAGTATTTCCTCCTCCTTTATTTTTTGGAATAATTTGGGTAGGATTGGTATTAGTCCTTCTTTAAATGTTTGGTAGAATTCAGCAGTGAAGCTATCAGGTCTCAGGCTTTTCTTTGTGGAGAGACTTTTTATTATGGCTTTAATCTTGTTGCTTGTTATTGGTCTATTCAGGTTTTGGATTTCTTTCTGATTCAATCTTGGTAGGTTGTATGTGTCTATGAATTTGTTAATTTCTTCTAGATTTTCCAGTTTATTGACATATAGTTGCTCATAGTAACCACTAATGATCCTCTGAATTCCTGCAATATCAGTTGTAATGTCTCCTTTTTCATTCTGGATTTTATTTATTTATCTTGTTTTCTTTGTTAGTCTGGCTAAAGGTTTATCATTTTTGTTTAACTTTTCAAAAAACCAACATTTTGTTTTATTGATCATATATATGTGTATATATATATATATATATATATACACATATATATGTGTTTTTTTTTTTTTTGACAGAGTCTTGCTCTGTCACCCAGGCTGGAGTACACTGGCATGATCTTGGCTCACTGCAACCTCCACCTCCCAGGTTCAAGTGATTCTTCTGCCTCAGCCTCCCAAGTAGCTGGGACTACCAGTGCATGCCACCACATCTGGCTAATTTTTGTATTTTTAGTAGGGACAGTGTTTCACTATGTTGGCCAGCCTGGTCTTAAACTCCTGACCTCAGGTGATCTGCCAGCCTTGGCCTCCCGAAGTGCTGGGGTTACAGGTGTGAAGCACCACACCTGGCCTTGTATTGTTTTTTACTTGTCATTCAATTTCATTTGTTTCTGCTCTGATCTTTATTATTTTTTTTCTTCTACTATTTTTGGCTTTGGTTTGCTCTTGCTTTTCTAGTTCTTTAAAATGCATCATTAGATTGTTTATTTGAAGTGTTCCCTTTTTTTTGTTGTAGGTACTTATAGCTATGAATTTCCCTCTGAAAACTGCTTTTGCTGTGTCCTATAGGTTTTGGTATGTTGTGTTTCCATTATCATTTGTTTCAAGAAAAATTTCAGGTTCCTTCTAAATTTCTTCATTGATCTACTGGTCACTAAGGAGCATGTTGTTTAATTTCCATATATTTGTATGGTTTCCAAAATTCCTCTTATTATTAATTTCTAGTTCTATTCCATTGAGGTCAGAGAATATGCCTGATATTATTTCATTTTTTTTGAGTGTTTTAAGGTGTGTTTTGTGGCACAACATATGGTCTGTCTTTGAGAATGATCCATGTGGTGAGGAAAAGAATGTGTGTCCTGTAAATATCTATTAGATCCATTAGGTCTATAGTGCAGATTAAGTCTGATATTTCTTTGTTGATTTTCTGTTTGGAAGATTTGTCCAATGCTGAAAGTAAGGTGTTAAGTCTCCAGCTATCATTGTATTGGGGCCTATCTCTCTCTTTGGCTCTAATAATATTTGCTTTATATACCTGGGTGCTCCAGTATTGAGTACATATATAA